GCCGAACGTTCGTCGAGTTTCCACAAAAAAAAGTAGATAACCTTCGGCCGAATTCAGACACCGGGAGTCGAACCCGGTTCTTCTGCTCACAGAGAATCGGGAGAATGGATCATTGTGTGCAGACGCGCGCCGCGCACCGTGTTTGGTGAAGGTTTGGTGAAGGGTGTCTTTCTGGCCGCTATGTATACATTTTACATTTCTGTTTGGAACATACAAGTCTTATCGCGGTCCGTACCCTCTGATGATATTCGATCCCGCGGGTCAGATGGCCTTTTCTTTGTTCTACATTTAGTCGCGATGAAAATCAATGCCGAGGCGTGGGTCAGAGCTGAATTTGATTTCTGCGTAGATTTTCGTCCTGCTGCAGCCTAAGTGAGAACTAGAATAGTGCTCGAATGCGATGCTTTGGATACAGCCCAGGTTGGGATTACGTGCTAACAGAACTCTAAATTGGCGCCCAGCGGCAAGACGGTATGCTGTCAGTGGCACCTTCTATCTCGGAAGAATCTGATTGCTTGGGAACGGCGTGCCTGATGGGGACTGCCGTTAGCCGAGCCAGCTCGGCTCCAGAGCACATAAAAGCCGCGGCCCCCCGAAATCAATCTCCCCTCCCCGTTCCTATCACCCATCACTGTTCCCTCACACCCTCGACGTTCTCCTCGTCGTCCATGTCCGCAGTCGAAGCTCCCCCAGCCCAACAACGTGGCTCTCCCCACGAGCGGCACCCGTCTCCCCCACCAGCTGAGCGCAGCGGTGTCTCAACACCAGCCCCAGGCCCAGCTGCTCAACAGCCAGCGTCAACACACAGCTCTGCACGCCACTCGCCTGCACCGCCTCCCCCTCCACACCCAGTTCACCCCTACGCCTACGGAGGCTACGTCTATGGACCCCCGCCTCCAGGCCACGCGTACCACCACGACGAACGCTACGGCACACATCCTCATCCTCACCCTGGTCCCTACGCCTACCCTCCCCCACCGCCTTTCGGTTATGCACCATACCCGATGCCAGGCCCCCCGCCTCCCCCCTCGGCTTCCGCACCGCCACAGGCCAGTGCGCCGAGTGGGCCTATTACACATACGGACGATGCTGCGACCAAGTTGAGCGATCGAGTGAGGAGGAGGTGTTATAATTGCCACACCACGGTGTGTAACATCCTCGACTCTGCTAGTAATACAACTAACTTTGCCACAAGGACACGAGTACGTGGCGGCGCTCGAATTTGGCTCCAGGGAAAGTGGTGCGTTCGTTCTCCCTCTTGGTTGCTTTGATGCTGATGATCAACAGCTCTGCAACAAATGCGGCTTGTTCGAACGCACGCATTCTCGTCCCCGCCCGGAACAGTTCCCACATAAACGAGCCGCTCTCGGCGGCCCAGGTGCTGGTTCTCCTTCGTCGTCGGTGCGTTCTTCTGCCCATCTTTGCTTTCTGTGTATTGAGACAGTATGTAGCAGCAGCAGCCTCAGGCTCCTCCCCCACCCGTTGCCCAAGCTCAATACGGCCCACCCCCGACGCAGCACTACGTCTCTGCTCCACCTCCACCTCCCGCTGCCTCTGTCCCCGCCCCTGCAGCCGCTGAGGCCAAGACCAACGGCGGAGGCAGCGTTTCGCAGCCCGGGACACCCAAACAGCCCACCAATGGCGTCAACGGGCATAGTAAAGACGACGCCCCGGCCGCTGCTGCTGCGGGTACGAAGCGCGCGAGGGAGGAGGACGGGGAGGGTCAGGGGGACGAAAAACGTGCGAGGAGTGAGGCGGAGCAGGGGCATGCGTGAGTGTGAGCGGTATGGCTTGTGGATGTGGTTTCCTTTTGTCTCTCTTGTTTCCGTTGCTTTCCTGTGTGTCTCTGTACTTTTCCGAGCTGCCTGTATTGTCCGACGGTTCTAAAAAATGACTTGGCTGCGTCTGACTTGAGTGATTACTCTGTACGCTGTGGAAAACCGTTGAGAATCAAGTTACGACCGGTTATGACCTGGGCTAGAGTCGAACCAGCACACCACGGGTAAGAGCGGAAGTAGCGGAAATGGGATGGTAGGCCTCCGCAGGCAGCAACCAGGTCTGTTTCTACGCCTACACATTTGACCTTGACCGAGTCGTGGGGGGCATCCGTATCAAAACTATTCCAGTGAGGCATTCACGCAGGATCTCAACCCGATTCGAACGAGCAACGCCGAAGCGACATATTCTGTCAAAGAGAGATCAATTGAATGGTGTGCCTCTGCCGCCTGAGGCGATTGCAAAGTCTATTCGAACAGGTTAGCATCTCCCCAAAAAAATTGACGGTTCAAGAGGCATCCGCATGCAACCAACTCTCTTCCTGGAATGAGCATCCCGTGGGCATCCGTATCTCATGACACGAAAAAATTCGGACCAGGAAATGACAGGATCTCAGCTCGAATCGAACGAGCAACGTCAATGAGAATCTGGATCAATTGGATGGTGGGCCTCCTCAGGCGGTTAAAGTCTGTTCGAGCAAGCTGGCCAATGGCATCTCCCATAGGAAAATAGGGAAAACCCATTGAGAATCGAGAGATGACTTGAGCTCGAATCGAACGAGCACACCACGTGTAGTAGCAAGCACGCGCACTGAAATGGTGGGCCTCCGCAGGCAACCAGGTCTCTTTCTTGAGATTTGACCTTGATGAGCATTCCGTGAGCATCCGATCTCATGAGTCACGACACGAAAAAATTCGCCAGGCAACCGCGCAGGATCTCAGCTCGAATCGAACGAGCAGCATCAAGTGGCAAGATATGCTGTCGAAGATCAATGGGGTGGTGTGCCTCCTCAGGCACTTGAAATTTCAGGGTCTGTTCGAACAGGTTGCCATCTCCCATGGGAAAATCCCGGCCTGAGCATTGTATCAATGGCAGTTCGATAGGATTCGGAGTGATACAATTGTGAGATGATACATGTATGTCGTCCAGGCATCGACGTGGTTGAGATATATACATAGCCTGTCGAACGACCATCCACATCTTTTCCCTCGCAGATGCTCAGTCAAATTTCAGACGCGGCAACCACCAGGATCGGGATTTCGAGCACTGCATCGGCGACGTCCTCCTCTCTGTGGGTGTCAGCGCCGAGTGCTCGTACTTCGTCGGCGTCGTTGTGGGTGTTGAATTCTTCAAAAAATCAACGTGCACCTCCTCCTTCTCCCCACCAGCGGCGACAAGATACGTCGGAGGCTCCACCATCGCCATCGAAGGATCAGGAGCAACGAAGATATCAATGACGCCCCCGCAAAGTTGCCGTGCCATCGCCACGAGCCATGCACTCTCGGATATGCGCACCACTCGCGCATCGAGTCGATTGACGGTGGCTACGGTGTTGAATGATATGCGATCCCGCTGCACTGTGGCTAGTTCTGTGAATTCTTTTTGTGCGAGGTCGAGGGCCGTCTGAGGAGAAGAGAAGGAAGACATGGATGAATATTGATGCGAGTGCCGAGGGTGGAAACCAACCTCGTAAGTGGACGCAGGACAGACGTAGACCAGCCGATTGGCGAAACGGTAGGTGATGTAGTCGGGGAAAGTAGGCGTAGTCCTGCGTATCGTCGCCATGAGAGAGGCTGAAGAGTTAAGGTACCAGTGAGGTGATGCCCGCCTCCAGACAGTGCTCCCTTTATATGTATCCGACCTGCCAGGCTGCGCCCACAGCTCTGTTCGAGTCTACTTACGGCGAACAATTCAAAGCTGTCGGGGCTCCCCCTCAGGCAGATAGATATGTAGCTGTGGCGGGAAGTGGGGTGAAACGGAGAACACAGCCTCGGCCCAATGAAAAAAAATGCTGTTGTTTTCATTCCATACAACCATCTTTTGACGACGGCTGCATAGCGGGAGAAGATTCCAATCAGAAGCGGCTGCGAACCGGTGCACTGCAAATAAGCGCCGATCTTTTTTTATAGATAGACTTCCAGTTCGTTCTACAGCATCCAGATAAAGGCAAAGATGTCGGCAAGTCAATCTAGGCACAGGCCAGATGGGCAGTGGCCTCCCGCTTTTCAAGGATAGTCCGTTCTCCACTTGGTCTTGACGGTGTCCATCCTTGTCCATCGCGACTGGAGCTGTAGGCTGTTGCTGGGCAGTGCTCTGGCGGCTCGCAGTTTGAATGGCAGGGAAGTGAGTATGTAGTTGAAGAGAGGCTAGAAGGCAAAGAGTCTCGGTCGCGCAGATGCAAGCTTGATTCGGAGGTGGTGGTTTCGGCGTGAGAGCCGCGAGATGGCTTGGTTCTGCTTGTTCGCAGATGGATACTCATCAGTCCGAACTTGGTCCGAACAACAGATCTCCGAACGATCAGACATTCATCGACCGACTCACTCCGACTCACCTCGACTAAATCTCGATGACTCCCCACTCGGAGTTCCTGGACTCTCTCCGGATATCCGGATTTCATGGAGAGTGTCGCTTCTCATCCCATCTACAGCTAGACCCAATTTCGAATTGCACTAGACGGAACTTCGCGCATACTGCGGGCCATACCGTGCTTTGATGGCAGTTAGCTGTCCTCTCACCTCTTCTTTCAATTTGAATTGAACCGGGAGCCGACACTCCAAAAAGAATTGGAGCAGGAGCACAGCAAAACTACATGAGTATCCGAGACAAAGCAAACTGAGTACCACAGATGTCGGTGGGAATCGTCCCACCGCTGAGAACCCAAACGGTCGCGTGCGTCGAACGCCAGACATCTGGAGGAACTGAGGACTTCAGCAGAAGGTTCAACGTTCAACGTTCAACGTTCAACACGCAGCCGGATGTAAGGAACGTGATGACACTGATGTCAAACATTTGATAGTGATCTTCAACGGTTCAACATTAGTTCAACAGCTTTGATTGGCCGTCGTTATGCTTGATTTCTATGTAGGCCATTCCTCACACAGCACATGTGAAAAGAGGGACTTGCACGAACATCTGGTGTTGGGCGGTCCAGATCCGTAGCGAGCCGGAGGGGCAATGATGGGCGGAGGTAGCGACATTGCGTCGGAGAACCGGGGAAAAACAGATGGACAAGTGGCGATTCGAACGCCAGACCTTGCGCATAGATTTCGCCGGGATGCGAAGCGGACGCAATAACCAACTATACTACATGCCCGACGGACTCGCTGTCTAAGTCCCTGATGGTACCCAGAAGCATCGGACTTGAAAGCGGAAGCCTGAGGAACAATTCGACTAAATAGTGTTGGGGAAACATGCCGTCGGTGTCCACGAGAACACTCCGTATAATCACTTCTCCGCTGTAGCTCAGCCCAAGAGATAAGGAAACAGTGCCTGCGCCGTTATGAATTTATTTGCAGTTCAAGTCCAATGAATTGTCTTCATACTTTGGAGATCCTTGAGAGCATTCAACACTGTGAATCGACTCTGTTTGCGCCCCACGCATGAGTCGCCAGCGATTTTGTGCTTGTTCAACATGAATTCAACCATATCCCGGGGAAAGTTCCCGTGTTTTCAGAGTTCTCAACGGTTCGATGGTGTAGTTGGTTATCACTTCTGTCTACGCGCAAGAGCGTCTGGAGCTTGATTCGGACCCAGAGTTGACGCAATTTCGTCATGATAAGTCAAAGGTATGTGGTCATGGTCGCAATGACTCTGCTGACGCTCTGCAGTTGCGGATGCGCATCGATGAGATCAAGTTTCAGTCTAAGGTCGCACAATCTGATGAAGAGGTCGCCGCTCTCGAAGCCGACATCGACAAGCTCCGCACTCAAGGTCGCGACATTGACCGCAAGTACAACGCTATTGTTTCGCGAGAGACGAGGGCCCTTGTGGCTTTGAAACGGAAAGACTATTTCGAAGCAAAGTCGGCAGGAGAGGTACATGAAGTGGTGCGTGATGACTCTGCCGTCGCTTTGTCCTGTTGATGGGCGCAGAACGTGACGAAGCGCATTCCTTTTTCCGACACCGCCAATGCCCCACCTGTGGCTTCGGCTCATCCCGCGTCCTCCGCCGGTCAAGAAAATCAAGTCCCCGGTGCAGCTCCTGCGCCCAGCCGGAGAGGTCGTGTACGGCTGCCCGCATTCACAAAGCCTATGGACAACGCCATCGAGATAATATACAACTTCACGTTGGAGGGTAGCGGCACTCCACATCTCGTCAACTCGATCAACGCGCTCCTCGGACTCCCGGAGCGGCCGCTCAAGAAGTGCTATCCGGGCGAGGGTCCTACCAGCGAGGAAAAGTGCCCCGTCTGCGGTGTCGAGACCACGTAGGCCTCGCGTTGTCTGCTTACCACTCTCCGCCCAAATTCCCTCGCAGGACCGCAAAAATGAACGCAGGCGGTGGGAACACGGCCACTCATAGCCATATTGAGAGAAGTGGGGCTAAAAGTAAGATTCGATGCCTAACTACAACAGGAACGAGTGTTTATATACTACATAGAACTACTAGAAGGTTCTGGGTGAGTCACTGGGAGTGGAGCAAGAGAAACAATAGAACAATAGGAAAGCTGTACTTCAGCTCCACCTCGGGCAACGCTCGGGCATTAGAGCTATGCTCGGGCTGTGCGGTTGACGACCAACGCGGTGGTGTGACTCGAGGTTTGCCAATCCTTCAACAAGCCACGCATGCACCATCAAGAAGGTGCGCCAGGACGCGGAGAAAGAACTTCAAGAAGCCTTCACCTCGCGCGCATGTGAATGGTCTGGCTGCGATGACAAGAGACTCTTCACCTCCCGCGCCGACTTTTGCAAGCATGTTTGGAAGCATATCGATCGCCACCGTACCATTCTCTCCTTGCCACGCGTCTCCGCGTATCCTGGCTGCGGGTGGCTTGTCGACGAAGAAGAGTGTGGCGACACGGATGTCGAGGACTGGGATATCCATATGGGGCGGGTGCATGGTGTCAATGTGCACCGCAAGGTCGATGTGCAGTACTGCGCCGTTGCTCAGGAATAGTACGTTTCCCCGCTTATCGTTTGCCATCTGACTGAATTGCTTGCAGCTTTGTCGACATGGACGGCGACGGAGTCCTCTGGCAGAATCGCTGTCTTGAGCTGCGCTCACTTCTCTTTTCGTCATTCTCGATGCGCGTTCAAGGAGAAGTGGATTTCAGCGGGCACGGTGTCTCTATTTCCGAGTCTGACCACATCATCGAGTTCGACCATGGTTCCCACACCGACGGCACTCGCCCGCAATTCCACGGGAACATTCTTGATCAAGTCCCCGAGGATCCGCATTGGTGTCCCGAATGCATGTACAATCCACAACTTCCGATCGAGCGGCAAATGAAACAGTAGGCTATCCCTTTCTTTGTATGCGCTTGACTGATCATAATGCAGATTCCATTCCCACAAGGATTTCATGGCACATCTGAGAGGGCATGTGCCACAAATCGAGGCTGACATGGAAGGCAGTCATTCACGCCAATGTGCTGTGCCGTCGTGCGGGACGCACACCTTTGCTACCACGCACGAGCTCCTCCGCCATCTGATCATTTGGCATCGGGTTCCCATTTGCGGCTCTACCAAGCACACAAACGTCCGCCGTCTGCACCTTCCCCGGCCCGCGGAGAACGCCGACGATCCTGCGGAACTTGTCGATGAGCCCAACGCCCCAAATGAAGATTGGGCCAACATCGATCCCCTCCTGCGTCCTATCTCTACCTCGGTGCAACCACTACCGCTCGTCTCCCCCAACACGGACAAATCTTCAGATCAGTCTACCGCTCCTGTGAAGCTTCCGGCGAAAAAGCGAAAGAAGCAGCAGCGCTACACTGCCGCCGTGAGTTCAAGCCTTCGTGTCCGGTCCAACGGCTGATGAATTCTTAGAATCCCTTCGTCAAGCCACCTCCGAAGAATCACGCTTGTCACGCCAACGGTCATCGACTGCAGTTCGTGGACATTCGGGAGCACCTGCCGGATCAGTGCGACTCTACGTGGTTCAAGATCCGCGACCCCAATGAGAATCGGAGCACGTTTGGTCCTCGGCAAGACTTCCAAGAGTGGCTGAAGGACGCTTCTAAATACGTGGTACGTCTTTATCCTCCGAGCAACTTGCCATCTCATATCTTTTCAGCCGGCTTCAAACCCACACCCGCACGGGGCCGACGACGATCACGACGACGACGATGACTCGGAGTGCGAGGCCCCAGTCAAGAAACCTCATGTGGTTGCTGCAAAACCGGCAAGTCACCGTTCTTTCTCTATCTTGCCACCCTCATCGTTCTCTTTAGCTTTTAAAGTATAAATGCGCCGGCTGCAGCAAATCCTTCGCCGATATATCCAAGCACTTTAATAACATAGGACCATCCTCTAGGTGCCGGACGAAGCGTTTCCGAATCAGATACGACGACGGCACTTATGGCCTGATAACCAATGTGCTACCCTCTCTCCCGCCGACCGCTGGCCCCTCGTCGTCATCATGAACATCACACTCCTTGCTTACACTCCTTTCCGCTCTCCCTTGCGTTACCTACGAAGCTCTCCCTTGCGTTACCTACGAAACTCATGTCGATACGCTAGCACGATTCCAATTGCAATGACAATCACGCGACTTTACCAATGCATCCTCGCATGCGAATCTTGAGGCGCGATAGCCGACTGTACGATAGAAAGGGGGAAAATAGGCGGCGACTGTGGCGGTACGCCTCATCACTGGCGTCAAATGAAAGTGTTACGTTAGCATCAGACGCGTCTCTTAAAGCTTTCCTCCCTCCGTCTCCCTCCTTCCTCCCTCCTTCCTCCTTCCTCCCTCCTTCCTCCTTCCTCCCTCCTTCCTCCTTCCTTCCTTCCTCTCCCTCTCCCTCTCCCTCCCTCCTCCTTCGTTTCCCCTCTCCCTCCTCCGCTCTCCCTCCCTCTCCCTCCTTCGTTCTCCCTCCCTCTCCTCCTTCACGAACCAAACACTCCTTCCTCGCATCCCCTACATACCTTAATTTACTTATAATGGCCCGCAAATCCAAACCGCGCATCTCAGACAAGGAGGCATCGCGTATCGCCCTTGCCGCAGCGGACGAGATTTTCGGGCGCGATAGCCAACTGTACGATGGAAAGGGGGAAAGGCGTTGAGATTGTGGCGGTACGCGTCATCGCTGGCGTCAAATGAAAGTGTTACGTCAGCATTGGTCAGCATCAGGCGCGTCTGCGGGTCTTCCTTCCTCCCTCCCTCCCTCTCTCCCTCCCTCTCTCTCCCTCCTCCTTCGTTCTCCCTCCTCCTCCCTCCCTCCTTCGTTCTCCCTCTCCCTCCTCCTTCGTTTTCCCTCTCCATCCTCCTTCGTTGTCCCTCTCCCTCCCTCCCTCCTTCCTCCCTCCCCCTTCACATCAGGAAACACACTTTTGTTAGGTAGCTCCCACCAAGCGGTAGGTAGGTCTGATAGCTCCAGTAGCCATGGTAGCATTGAGTGCGCAGCTCAGTAGCTCTTGGTAGCTCTGAGTGGGGAGTCCAGTAGCACTTGGTAGCTTCAGTAACCATACCCTCTAACCCAGTAGCTTAGATATCTACGCCCTCAAACTCAGTAGCCCAGATAGCTTCACACTAATGTCTCAGTAGCACTTGATTGCCTGCCTGTGTTGACTTGGTAGAAACAATAGCATTTTTATAGCATTGGGCTGGCTGGCTGATAGCACTTGTTTGCCTCATTTTCTCATCCCTCTGGATGAAACCTCTTTACAGAGTGCCCAAATGATTCAATGTGCGCATCCCCCTCACTAACAAAAATGACCTAGCCTAAGTAAGTTCAAGTAACAGTGAAGACATTGGCTAACAGGCCAATTTCTACTTGAGCTCAGTCTTGTGCCTGTGCTTTCAACTTCCACATCCAGTTCAAATTCACTACAGGATATATATTTTCCAGAGGTAGTTGTGGTTGGAGAGACAATGGAGTGGCATGTGGTTACCCGATGTGGAACAGACATGCACACCATCTGCAATGCGTACTTAGTGTAGTTGTTTAGTTGTCTCTTTAATATTATTTGTCTTTTGCAAATGTCATGAGTTCGAGTCCTGCCGCCTGTATTCCTTTAATTAAATTCCCAACTCAAACTACAGTAGAATAGCAACAGTAAGTACCCAGTGTTTCTTTTGAACCTTGTGAATTCTGTGAGGGTCAGCTCCTCCCTGCACTGGAGTAACAGTAGCCTCAGTAGCCCGCTGTTCAGTAGCACTGGTAGCAGTTGGAGGTAGCTTGGTAGTACACAGTAAGGGGGTACTTGACTACCGGGCTACTGAGCCTCCGGAGACTCGGGAGTGCTACCTAACCAGGTGGCTTTTTCCTGATGCACGAACCAAACACTCCTTCCTCGTGTCCCCTACATACCTTAATTTACTTATAATGGCGCCCCGCAAATCCAAACTCCGCATCTCGGACGAGGAGGCAGCGCGTATCGCCCTAGCCGCAGTGGACGAGGAGAAGCGTCGCTTAATGACCGTGTCTCTAGAAGGCATCTTCCATCACAAGAAGATTCTCCAACCCACCCTGAACTGCCATAATCGTGTCAAGAAGCTGTGGGGACTCTATTCCGATAAATTCTATGAAACGCAGGCGGAAGAGTCGAGGTTGGCCACAGAGATCGTGCCTGGAGCAGCACTCCCACCCCAGCGTGCGTCATCCCACACACCATCTTTTCTCACCTCACGTCTTTCTAGGAGCATTCAAAGAGTTCATTCGCTGGCTTGGGTACACTCTTCAAGGTCGTCTCGAAAAGCCTGTCGTCAAAGGGACTGTCCAGGGCTACATCTTTACGCTCTTTGCCGTGTGGAATCAATATGCAGGTGTCGTCGTCCCCAAGGAGTACCGCCAACAAATCCTCGCCTTCTTTCATTCGCGCGACTTTGACGACACGTCCAAGCTGTCCACCAAATGCCGCGAGAAACCCATCGCCGACTTTCTAGATGTGACCATCCTGATTCTGGGCATCCTTCGCGACATGAAGGTCTTCAAGACCCAGCGCGCTCGCATAGACGCGATCTACGCCACCCTCATCACATGCTTGTCTTCGGAACGCATCGGCGCCCTAGTCGAATCCAGCCCTCATCGCAAGTCCAACGAGGCGTTGACGTGGGGCGACCACGAGTTTTGGGCTCTCCCGAACCCAGCAGCTCCTCGTCGTCCGCGTATCACCCTCGTGCTCAAGCCCCAGCTGCTCAAAGGGTTTCGCTACGACGACTCCAAGTTTAAGATGTTTTGTCTACTTGCCGAACGGGCTGATCAGTGCGAGACCGATGCAATGATGTATTCCCTGGTTTCCGCGCTCAAGGACGACATCTTTGTCGGTATCAAGACGGCCGACGAGATTTTTTTCCCAGAGGAGCCGTGCACCATCGCCCACAAATTGACCATCAAGGAATCGGCCAAGACGATGCTGGTGTTCCGGAAGACTGTCTTTGAAGAAGGCCGATACACCACTTCCGACACGTTCGCGATGCCTTACGGGATGGCGACGAGGAACCTTCAGGAGGTCGGGTTGCGGTTGGGCTTTGAAGGCGAGTTGCTTCAACTTTTTTCTGGTCTTGTATTGATCATTGGGCATAGACATGCTGACGTGGTACTGCTTCCGCCGGTGCTCCGCCAACAATCTGAACGCCTCGGTCTCGCAAAGCGACCGTGAGCTGCTGATGGGCCACACCGAAGAATCCACTATCTTTTCGGCAAGTCGTCCCACCAGTCAATGGCCCGTCTGCTAATACACATACAGAAAGTGTACCAGTCGAGGATGTGCAATGCTCTCACAGGCGGTCCTCAGTTCGAACCTGGGTCGAATCATTTTTGCACCCCGCGAACATTAACGCGACAAGTTCATGTTGATTATCGCTTATCGATCACTGCCTTTTTCTGCCCGCGCTGTGCAAACCATTCCATGTGGGAAGTGTAGTCTATGAGGCATTCTCAGGGAGTCAGACACCTATTCATTCTTTCAGAAGTGTCCAGGGCATGGAGGAGGCATGATGCGGTGACGTTGAACAGTGTTTGGACACAGTTGATCAACTATTGATCGCTGTATGGACAGAAGACCGCCTTCTTCCAGTAGGACCTAGAATCCCCATTGCTGTTCAATAAGGTCTGATGATGATGGATGATGCTTCTGCCACACCATATGTCGCCCCAAATGTCGCCTAGACTTGTCCAGTCCGTCTATGATATGACTGGCTGGCTCTTTCTCTCGCCCCCGCGGACCACCTGGCGCGACTGGCGTGTTATCCTGGCGTGTTATCCTGGCGTGTTGTCCCTTGCCCGTCCCAAGTCCTTCAAGTTGACCCAACGGCATATAACATAATGAAGTACTTATCAGTTGGTATGAGTTACCAATGTTATGGTGTCTGTTTATAAGAGACTACCAGCAACGGCGCCGCCAAGGGTCGGACCTAGAATACATCCACTAAGTACTTACCTCTCGTTCACAAGTTGATCTTCGGCAATGAACTCCGTTGCCAACACGACGAGGGGCCCCGACAAGCCGGAATAAATTATAATGGAACAGTTGATGTGATGCTGCGCCAAGGTTCGTTCCACATAGGTCGCAGCAACTGTTGGAAAGGCTCAAAAAGGAGTCCGACTTGCCCGGATCGAACGGGCGGCCCGGTTCAAGCCGGACAGTGAGATTACGTGAGGGTGGGAAAGTTAACCAGTTACAGTCTCATGCTCTTCCAACTGAGCTAAACTCGGCTGTGTGGGCCGGGCTTCCAATTAGAGTCCGAGATCCCCGTCCAACTGAGCTAGAGTCGGATGTTGAAGAAATGAAAAACATATTGTTTCCTATCAGATGTGATGAGGAAGGCTTCCAATTACAGTCTGATGCTGTTCCAACTGAGCTAGACTCTAGAGTCGGATGGTGGAGCCGCGGAACAGGTTGATGACAGCGGGCATTCCCCTGATGTTGCTGTGACAGTTCAAGATTTTTCCAGACTTCTAGTCAATATTTGCTACTCACCACCAACCTCCACCTCCCATTGACCTTCTCCCACAATTCCCCCCACGGGGCCAGGTAATCCATACAACCATCCCGTTTCGGCGCTGCCGCTGCCAGTGGTGCCAGGTGGAGGTCGAACAAATGGGTGAGGGGTAAAATAGTGGCTCGGAGCCTATGCAAATAGAACGGAGATCTGCAGATAAGGCATGCGAGGGAGTTCGACGGCGCCGATGGTGAGGATGAACTTCATGTACTAGTATGTCAATCTCTGTATATTGGAAAGTTCAACATACCTCTGACGGTTTAGAGAACGAGGTGAAAGCGACTGCACAGCTTACACTGGAGGCTCCGTATTTCGCAAGATCAGGCCAATTTTTCGCTGATGTTCAAACGCAGTCTGTCGTGGACAGACCACGATACCACTGAGGATATGAGTATGTACTATGTATCTCCAGCTACATTCTGGTTCTTCCAACCGATTCGGAGTCCCGAGATCGTTGACGGAATGTATGTTTCTTGGAGTCCCGAGACCCCCAATCGAACTCCTCCGCCTCGAATTTTCCCCCTGTTGTTACCAACCTGGCTTGCTCCCTCGAGCGTGGAGCAACTCGCTCAGGATCCATCCTCCTTGTCAACTGGTGGACGGAGGAGTTCATTCTCTTGCAATGCCTGCCCTTCCCGACTGGTGGCTTTGCTAACTATATCGTATTACCCTGACTCCAGCGTTGGCCCTGCCGGGATATCTCTTGCTCGCCCGGGATCGTTCGCCTAACGGCACCGAGAATCGGCTCGAAATCTATCTCCTGTCCACCCACTGTTCATTCTGGCAGCCGCTAAATGCCAAACTGCGTCTGAAAGTCGAGCGTTGTCGAGGGAATCCAAGGGAGGTGCAAATGGCGTGTTTCGGGTGCCGTTTTGGCGGTATTATATGGCAACGTCCGGGAAGGACATACCAATGAACATGCCAAATATGGCTCTTTTTACCCAGAAAAAAGGGATATATATTCTCCTACCGTCGAGCGTGCATGTCTGGCGCCTGTTAGCAGGGGAGAGGGACTACGGAGAGGTGCGTACGGCAGCGAGATTCAATGGATTCCGAGGAACCAAGTCTCTTGTGAGCTCGAGCAGGACGTCAAGCGGAAAGTCCGTGAGCGTGCTAACGACGCGCCGTCAGAACATACCCATCAGAACTCATTATTATCAGTTCCGTCGGGTTCGGATCGGCTCATCGGCTCACCTACGCGAACTCGGCAGACTGCCGGTGTGACAACGTATAATAATACTATTCGAAATTCGATCAGGCTTGTTGTTGGCCACGAAAGTCGAATGAGTGAGGGAAAGTAGTCAACGATGCTGAATGGGAGCAATCAAGCACCAAATCCGTTCAACAGATAAAATACGTGGGCTGTACAGTAACAGCAAAATACGGCGGGACAGGATACAGATAGCCAAATACGGTGAATGGCTAGGAACACGACAAATCAATAAATCAGACAATGACGGCGGCAGATATTCAGTGGTCCTGATAGTCCAGTGACCGGAGGACGAGTAAGCAGAGTGACCCTGGGCAGCGGATTCACGACCGAGCCAGGCGAACACAATAGACAGCGATAAATCAGACAGAAAGTATATTTGGCACAATCCGACTGCGGAAAGACAGTGGGGGATCGACAACTACTGACTATTTTCCAGCTCCTTATATACCCTCCTCCAGACCTGCGGCGCAGTCAGCTTCGGACTGTAAGGAGAAACCTCGGGAACTGCGCAAACTGCGTAGAAGCATTGGCAAGTTGAAGGTACGCCGAGAAATTCACATCCAACTAGTGAACGGTGGAAATAGTGCCGATCAGGCCGTGATGGCATCATGTGATTGGCCGAATTGCCGAGCGTCGGGATTTGAAAAGTGCCGAAGAAATGATTCATGAATTAAATGTGCCGTTTCAACCGAATGCTTGCGGTGATGCTGACGGCTGATGAAATGCATTTTGATTGAATATACATTACAGTGCGCGTGAGAAAGACCCGTGATTCCACTGGTTTCACGATTGTGGCATCACACCGGTCCTCGGTATTCCTCGCCCGGATACTAATAGGGATCAAGGATTCAAATCAAAGGCTATGCCTGCCGGCAATTTCTTGGTCCGGACCTCTCATTGGGACGATGCTGCACCTTCTGGAAGAGGACGTCCTATACCACATACTCGCACTCTTGGACGTACATACCGTCCTCACTCTCTCCTCGGTGTGTCTTGCCACCAAAATCACCACAAATCTGACCTACGGCAGGTAAACAAAGCACTACACGTCATCGCTTCCTCCAGGCAAACATGGCTTCGAATCGCTTGGAGCCTCTCAGCCCGAGGTCTCTTCGATATTCCAAACACTGTGCAGCACTTGTCGCCAAAGGATGAAGTGAAATGTCTGGTAGCTGGCCCTGAAACGTGGCATCCAGGCTCCGTGGAACCCGCTTTGATTTTCACCGCCATGGGTCGGCTGCGGTGGTTTCTTTGGCTTGCTACAAGGTCGTCGACAGGAGGTATGTTTCCCATATTCAATGACTCCTCCTGCGCTCACTTTCAATCGCAGCTATCTCTCCAACTACATCTTGGTTCTGCCAATCAACTTGGAGTCCCGAGATCCCCCAATCGAATTCTTCCGCCTCGAGATGGACTGGAACGTCCCCTGCTGTCACCAAATTTCAGGCAACTTCCTAGCTTGCTCCCTCGAACGTGGAGCTACTCGCTCAGGATCCATTCTCCTCCTCAACTGGTGGACGGAGGAGTTCATTATCTTTGACTGCCTACCCTTCCCGACTGGTGGCTTTGCCAACTATCGTATCTCCCTGTCTCCGGCGTTCGCCCTCGTGCCGGGATATCTCTTCCTCGCTCGGGACTGTTCGCCTACAGGCACCGGGACTCGGCTTGAAATCTATCCCATCTCTTCCCTCGATGCATTCTGGCAGCCGCTAAATCAACTCACGAGAGAAACTCCGTCTGAATGTTGGGCGTTCGTGCACAGCATCACTGTTGCCCCCAACCACGGTTACAACTACTACAGCCATCACGTTTCTGTCTCTGTTGCCGAGTGTGTTGAGCAGATAGCGGGATGGAAGGGAGGAAGAAAGTAATTGATTAGTTGAGCTCACTCGAGCTCCTTATATACTACACAGAAAAGTATCTAGAATGTTCCATCAAGTTCCGGCGACTTCTACCAGATGGTAGTGGCGTCGCATCAGCTCTCCGAGCTTCCGCCAACACTCCCCCTCGACGCCACGAACGTCGACATATCAAAGCATCGCCAGAATCGAACTGGGGGCTCAACCGAGTTGGGGGGCATGAATTTCCTTGCTTGCGCAGTGGATTGACCGCGTCTCGTGGGAGACAAACTGTGCCGATACAAGCGAAGTCTGTCGCACTGGTTGAACCGTGCGCACGGGTTCGTTTGCCGCTGATGATATTGGCAGGAGTGATATCACTGCCGATATCGCGTGGTGCTTTCTCAGGAGGTGACGGCGGACGTGAAGAAGGCGGTGGAGGCGAAAGCGGAGATGGAGGATCAGACCGTGGATGTGGGGAAGAACCCTCATCGGAGTCAGAATTCAACATAGGCGCGGGATCGCGATATGAATATTTTGACTGATCCGGAGGTTTCTGCGAAGTCTCCCCCTGCGGCTGCCTTTTCCTCTTGCCATTCTCCCCCTCAGACACAGGAGGGGACGGAGCAGGCCTGGGTACATAGTAGTATCCACTGTCGTCGTCCACGGCGGAAGGTTCCATTTTCTTGACTGCGCGCGGGGTCTGGGAAGATGGAAGTGATGCTGGTGATGAGACGCGAAGTCGATACATGTGGGAGACCTTGTCACCAATGGCGATGAGACGACCATGGGGCGAGAAGATTTCAATTTTGTCGCCGTAGAATTCAACTTCATAGCCTGCATCGGTCATGCGTCCGAGAGAAATGAGATTGAATGGTGCGTCAGGGCAATGAACGACATGCCGAACGGTGCAGGGACGAGAGGTGTCACCCAGGATTGTAGAGAGGCTGACAGTCCCCTTGCCGATGCCAACACAACTGCCGAAACCTTCAATTAAATGTTCCCATGGCATATACTGGGTAAAATGTTGTTTATTGCGAGCAATTGAACGGCTACATGCACTATCGAGCAACCAATCATCGGGAGAAAGTTTCTCCTTTGGTTGGGCTGGAAATCCAAAATCGGAGTCTGAACCAGACTCAGAGTCCGAATAGTCGGCAACGTGAGAACGAGAGGATTTGTGGCGGCGAGGCGGACGGCGCGATCGGCCATCAGAGTCGGACTGATCGGCATCACGGCGAGGGTGTGGAGCTCTGCAGTGAGCAGTGATGTGGCCGGGAACGCCGCAGCGGAAACAGGCAGGCGGGTATTGATGAGCTGCCGGTAATGCCGTGGACTGCGTGGCGCGTTCGTTGATACGCGCAACTTCGGATAGAATCCGAGCGATGACCTTCGACGAGTCGGCAAGAATATCCTCGGGGACAGAGGAAATGAATGGGTTCCAGGAATCTGGAAGGGACGTGAGCAGCGTGACTGAGAAATCAGTCTCGGTGATGACCTGCTCGAGGGATGTGAGTTCGGCTTGGTACGAGCGCATCAAGCGGATGTGCTCCTTGATATCGCCGTCCTCGGGACAGTGGGCGCGGAAGAACTTGCGCCGAGCTAACACAATGCCGATGGGACCTTTGGCTTCGTACATCGTGCGGAGTGTCTGCCAAGCCT